GAGGCTGAGGCAGGAGACTCGCTTAAGCCCAGGAGTTGGAGGTTGCTGTGAGTGTGATGCCATGGCACTCTACCCAGGGGGATAGCTTGAGGCTCTGTCTCTAAATAAATAAATAAATAAAAAAGAATTACTAACAAATACTCTAATTAGTAAATATGTTTTTCATAAGGATATGAGTTAGCTATAACCATTTGTACTCTAGAAATGAATAAGTATACTACATAATGAAAAGCAGGTTTCTGACAGAGAACAAAGACACAAGTAAGGAAAGAGGTAAGGTTAGAATGAGCCTTGTGATGTCGGATTGGAATAGAAATTACCTATAGGAACTCATGGGTTTTTATGTATATAGAAATGTAAGTGTGTGTTGTACACACATGTATACATGGGTTAGTATACATACATATATTTTCTAGTTCTGTCATCTGAAGGCCTAAGAGCAATAACACCCAATAAACATACCAGGTAAATAGATCTTGACATTAAATACTATTCTTCAATAAAAGGAATCAGAGTTGGAGAAGTAGTTGATTCCAGTACTGGGGCAGAAAAAAATATAAGCATGACACAACAATGACCCCAGCATATATACAGACAAGTGCCCAAAAAAGAGTGGAGGCTAACCAGAAAGAACTCCCAATGGCCACAGCTGTAACAATTAGAGCAACAAAATAATTAATGATACATGTAGTGTTAGATTATAACCTGTGAATAAAATACTCACAAGGACACACTGATAAATAATTGAATAAGTAAATGAAGAAGAGACATATCTCCCTTAAAGAAGAATTCCAACTAATAAATGTAGATGGACAGAGTAAGGAAAACAGAAAAACACCATTAGCCAAACACTACAGTAATACCTGTTGCAGGTAAGATCCACAGATGGATGTTAAAATAAATGGGAGAAAGTTTAAGGAGAAACAGTATAGCTGCACAGTCTCAAAGTATCTCCCCTAAGATATGTATCAATTACAAAAGGAAGAATGGTAACTTTACAGTGAAGAAACAACAGAAACCACTTTCACAAAGTCATCAAGGCTAAAAATACCACTACCAATAAAATATAACAAAATCATGTACTCCCTAATTTCATGTATTGAGAAGGATATATCACTTGGGCAGTTTTCTTGCAAAACATACACAACCTCAATCTGATCATAAGAAAAACATCAAACAAAAAATGAGAGAAATTCTGAGAGAATAACTGACCAGTACTCATCAAAAGTGTCAAAGTTGCAAAAAAACAAAAAATTGAGGAATTGTCAGAGATTGGTGGAGACTAGGAAAACATAACAACTGATGCAATGTGGGATCCTCCATTAAATCCTGCAACAAAGAAGAAGGCATTAAAGGGAAACATCAGCGAAATTCAAATAAAATTTGTAGTCTGCTTAGTAGTACTTAATTTGTTGTTTTGTTAATTATACTACTGTTATGTAAATTGATGATATTAGTGGATTGTTAGTAACAATATAAGAACTTTGTACTACCTCTGCAACTTTTCTGTAAGTCTAACATTCTTTCAAAATAAACCATTAAACATAATTAAATAAATAAGGGCTATGCCCCTTGGCTTACATCTCTCTTAGCCCTTACAGAAACCAATGTGGGAGGATCGCTTGAGGCCAGGAGTTCAAGATCAGCCTGGGCAACATAGCAAGGGAAACCCCCATCTCTACAAAAAAATATAAAAACAGCCAGGCATGGTGGCCTGTGCCTGTATTCTCAGCTACTCAGGAGGCCGAGGCAGGAAGATTGCTTGAACCCAGTAGTTTGAGGTTATAGTGAGCTGGGAGGATGCACTGCATTCTAGCCTGCACTGCTAAGACTCTGTCTCAAACCAAATAAATAAAATCCAGCAATGGGTCATCTATGCCACTGTCATACTTCCTTGGTCAGAGATCTCATCTGGAATTTAACATTCCCACTCGGTAACAGCAGAAAAAACTAAAATCATAAAAACCACATCTAACATCTAGTAAGTAAATTACCTATTTTACGTTCCCTCACTATACTTTCTTGAGCTAAAAAAAAAAATGATGACGGACATGACTTTACTGGCTTTGAAAACTTCTTCTTAAATGACTTGGCCAATTTTTTTATGTTTTAAATATCATTGATAATCTACAGTATGTACCTATTGTAACACATTTCATGTATCTCTTAAGCCCAAGTTTTATTTACAAAAAACAGCATCTTCAATAGACTATATAGTAAGTACATTATTTGTTCTTCTGTAGTTGTCCGACCATATAATTCCAGTTTTGTTCACAAGTTTGCTTTTTCCCTAACTCAAACTTCTCCCGGTACCCCAAACCACAATGTCATCATTCTCATCACGTTAAGATCCAAATTTTAAAAGATTAGCTATTCACTGTATCAGTCTATTTTCTCCCCTATTTCTAACATTAAGGAATATTAGTCCTACTTATTTGAGAAAAATGTTTAGGATATTAGAACTATATTACCATTTATTCTTTGCATCCTCTACTAATAAATCCAGTTCAATCAACACATTCTCAGAAATTCCTTTAAATCAAATGGCAATTTCAGGAGATGTTTACTAATTTGTTTGTAATAAGCAAATTAAGTAATGCATTTATATTTGCCTTCTCCTTCATGTACCATCAGCATGCCTGAATTGGGAATGGAATACATGACCAGCAAATGAAGGAAGTGTCACATGCAAAAGGCATGACTGGAAATTTAAGAGGCAAAGTGATAAGAACATCAGGTAAGGCAAAATTCATAAAAGTTTAGAATTACATGAAGCCTTAATAGGCCATTTAATCCACTCAAATGACAACAACCCCAGAAAGATGGCAATCTATCCTATTTTTAAAAGCCACTAGATTTCCAAATCTAGATATTTCATACAAATCATGTCATGTGATTTGAGGGAAATACTATGACTGTTCCTTGCCCTACTTTTCCAAACAATATAGGAATACATTCTTAAATTGCATCCAAAATATATAGATGTGTAAAGGTGCGGAATACATATATGCACTTAAGTAACTATATGTATAACACAGGCACCTAGGACACTCAGTATATATGGAAACATACATATCAAAGGCACATACCCATCCCACAATAATCACAAGAAGTACTAGGAAATGTCACAAAAAAATTGGTCTAAAAATAACCAATAGAAATCAATTTTATAAAATCTTGAGGTTAATGGTTTTGTCAGTCTGAATAACCATGTCTTTGCTTTCCACAAACACTGCCCCTTTCTGACCAACCATCACAAGCAAAACTGTATAATACATATGTATTAGATCCAAATAATTAATTTTTTAACGTTTGACTTTTTTTTCCAGTTAATATGAGAGAATGTTTGACTTTTAAATCCATTTAGGTAACAGTCATTTTGGAAGAGGGCCCAATGAAAGAGACAGTGATGACAGAGTACAGCCAGTGATAATGAACAAGTAACTAGTTTTAATCAAGCAGGGCAAAGAAATGATTCAAGGAAAACAAATCATTTTTGGAACATATATAGAATGGAGAAGTCCCATGCGAGTATGACCCAAGCACTACTTGAAAAAAAAAAAAAATACGTGTCTGTTTGGAAATATACCAAAATGTTAACCATCAAATGCTATCTCTGGAATTGGAATTACAAACATAGCTTTATTCATCTGTTGTTCCTATTATGTGATTATCCATATTTTCTAAATATTAGAGACATTTTTTAAAACTACGGTAATTCTGTTCCGATGTTTCAAACCTTTAAAATAGATACCATGTCTTTTACATAACCTCCTGGGAAAGGAGGTACCAGCTCCAGTCCTCCTCGTGTCTCCCAGGAACCTGCCACCCATTACAGAAAAGATTTCACCATGCTCCCTGGGACAGCTCCTGTCATCATCATCACCCTCATCTCACTCTAGAGAATACACAATGCGCCTCACCTACCCTCCCGGCAGCAAAACCTTTATAATTTGTTATTTTATCAAGCAGTGGATTTAGAGAAAGGTTTACCAGACGATGAGCTGTCCCCACCCAAAGATAGAGGAGAGGAGAAAGACACGTCGTCCCAACCTCCAGCCCTCTAACTAGGGGCACTGGGGTCGCGGCTCTCTGGATTCTGAAAGAAAGAGTCCAGCCGCGGCCTCTCAGCCAAAGTGCCGATCGGGGGAGGGGCGCTCGCCAGCGGATAGAGGGGTGAGGGAGAAGGTCAGAGGCGCGACCACCGGAGGCTGAGGGACAGGTACAGCAAGCTGCTAGAGGGGCGGGTCCCTTAGCCCACTCTGGCTGGTGGCTCGGCCTCTAACGCTGCTGCACAGACGCCCAGGTGGTGGGAGGCCTCTGGGGCCGGAGGACCCGCGCCGCGCCGGGAGGGCTACCTCAGGCCTCCGCCTGCTGCCCACCCAGGACCCCACCAGCCCTGCTCGGCGGCAGCCCCAGAATGGCCCCGGCCGGCCTTGTGCCGCCGGCCGAGCACACGCACCCTTAGCCAGGAGAACAGAAGAGGAGGCGTTACCGTACGCGGCTTTGGAGTTGGCGGGGGTGGGGTGCGGTTTCAGCGATCTGAGCCCGGCTCGGCAGTGGCGGCCGCGTCCTTTATTTTTGCTGCAGCGGCAGCGACTTGTCAAAGGGAAAGACGTAAGAGGCGGCGGCCGCAGCGGCAGCCGAGTCTCGCGGGATTTGGGCGAAACTCTCGCGCAGTCTGGAGCGTTCGCCCCGCCCCCCAGGCTCGGCGCGGGAGGCTCGGCGGGAGGGCTGAGAAACGCCGGTGAGGCGGAGTGAGGTTATCCGCTGAAGGAACAGGGGACTTGGTAATTGGGGTAACCAGTCTAGGTTCCCGGAACACCTTGCTGCCACGCGTCCCTCACCTTTTAGCTTGGCGGAGTCCGGACTCCCTCGATGAGGCACAGTTGGGAGCGTTTCGCGAAGGGCGGTGAGGAGTGGGGGCGGGGGTCAGCTGGTGCGCCCCGTTTTCCTCGTGGTCGGCGGGGAAGATCCCACCGCCCCGCGTCCCAGTGCTGCCGGACTGAGGGACACGTGGAAAAGCTGGCTGCGACCGGGTTGGGGGCCACACCCCTTTATCTCCGACGCGGGCCTAGTACGCTGCGCTCTTTATCTGCCATCACAGCCGGCCGTAGCCCTTTGGCCGGTCAAGTTCAATCCCATGAAAGCGTCTCAGTTGACCTACTTCCACCTTGTTATTTGTATTCTTGTGTACTGCAGGACTGCCAGAACACTGGGGCCTGCCACTCGGTTTTCTGATGGGGAATGCTGAAGTAAAGTGTCTTTTGGGTGACTTACCTTCTTGATCGTGACCCTGAAGTCTACAATGAAGCCCTGTGAGGGAAGGACACCGACTGGCCTGATTAATAGAGGTTCAGGCAGTCATTTAATGGTTGACTGAATACCACACACACCCATAATCCGCCTCTTGTACCTTTTTTAAAATTTATTCGTTTATTTATTTGAGACAGAGTCTTACGAGGCCACAGCCAGAGGATCACTTGAAATTCGGAGATCAGGACCAGCCTGGACAACATAGACCCCGATGGATACAAAAAAATAAGAAAATTACCGGAATGTGGTGGGGTACACCTGTAGTCCCAACCCCTGTGGATGGTTTTATACTCTTAGACTTTCACTTTTCAAAATATTCTACTGAGTACTAGCTATGTGTAAGTAACCATGAGGATATGAGGCAAAAAAATGGAGGGGTCTGCTTTCTAGAAGCTCAGAACCTAATTGGAGGCATAAGAGGAACACATAAAGAACATAGAAGCCATATGTGTGTCACTGATGTAAAAAATTATGGTATGGGCTGACACGGGAACATTTGTCCACAATTAAAGTGGACATATGTGTCATGTGAGGCACTTTGGCCCACAAGTTAGGAGTCATGCTTCTCTGTGGACACTGGTGGGGATTCTGGAATCCCCCATAACAGACTCTTGACTTTGGGCAAGTTGCTTGACCTCTGTGAACCTCAATTCCTTATCTGACCACTTACAATGAGAGTTATTATCAATGAGTTCTTCTGAGGAGTAAAATATATATAAAACTCCCAGCACACAGTAAATACTCATTAAATAGTAAGTCTTAAGTGTGCAACTTTTAAGTTTCTGTGTATAAAACGTGTCTGGTAAGCTAGATGTGATGTGAGGGAGTAAATACATGAGCAGTGATGTCATCATTGCTGGTGCTTTATGATCTGGGTACTGAGTCAAGACCAACAAGCTCTCTTGTCTTCCTTGTTGTAACTTATTGATGATGTAGTCTTCTATACCACTCACAAACATGACATTTTTCTTTTTTTTTTTTTAAATTAAATCATAGCAGTGTACATTAATACTATCATGGGGGGCATTTTTCTTGAACTTGTGAAAGTACTGCTTGTGCCCATTCTTTCAAGAAAAGAAGTACTTACTTTAAAGGCCAATTAAAGAGATTCACTCCTTTGTCCCTCCTCTGCTTCCACCCGCAGAGCTGTGTGGAAAAGAGAATTGTACACATTTGAGTTCTGTTGCATACAATTAGCAAATATACTTCACTGTCCATGAGTAAACCCAACTAGACACTACTTTTTACTATTTTCTGTCCTCATCTCCACCACATCCCCCTCTTCCAAAACATCAGCATCTGCTGGAGGCTTGTTTTCTACATCATTCTCCCAACTCTTGTTGAGAGTTCATTTTATCCAGATTTCCCTTAAAGTATTAGAGATGGGAGGAGTAGATACAGGGATCTCAAGTCCTCAACATTACAGGCCATTCCTCTGCACAGCATGCACTGGTCACATCAGTCAGCCACACCTTCCCCTCAGACACATCACATCCACCTCCTGCCATGTATTCCACAGGCCCATCCCACAGCCAGGAGGTTCTTGGCAGAGGAACTGTGCCAAGTTCAGAAAAAATACATGTTAATATATTATGAGTAGCTGGGGCTACAAGGACTCACCATAACACCTGGCTAATTTTTCTATTTTTAGTAAAGATAGGGACTTGCTCTTGCTCAGGCTGGTCTCAAACTCCTGAACTCGGGCAATCCACCCACTTCAGCCTCCCAGGGTGCTAGGATTACAAGTGTGAGCCACTTCACTATATAACAATAGCTCTTCCTGAATACATCAGTCCTTTAAACCAGTGGTTCTCAACCTTCCTAATGCTGCCATGTATTTTCATTATTACAAAGGGGTCGCAACCCACAGGTTGGGAACTGCTTCTTTAAACAGAGGGCAATAGTTCCATGTTGTATTTTCATTGTCACAAAGGGGTCGCAACCCACAGGTTGAAAACTGCTGCTTTAAACAGAGGGCAATATATTCTCAACAGAAGAAGATATATTTTTCATCTTCATATAGGAAATGCGTCGCTCCTAAATTATGGCTAAATCAGAAGTGATAAAGTCCAGCAGAGAGTAAAGTATGGAAGCAGAGCAGCAAGGGTTAGAATGGACTCTGGGAATAAGTTTGTGTTGCCCTTGGCACCTGTCCTAGGAAATGAATATCTCTGAAAACAGAAAAAAAAGCCCCAAAGCAGTAATGCACATACATGAGTCCTTGTAGCTCCCCAAATTACATCTTGTTTGCCCTTATATTACACAGTCTTTGTGAACCTAGTCTCATATCTGCAAATAGGGGTGATAATAGGTTTCATGCCTACTTCTGAATAGCATGAGACTCAACCTAAGAAAGTACTTTGTAAACTTAATACACTATTTAAATGTGAGGCATGATTATTGATTCATTCACTTAACAGATCTTTGTTGAACATAGGACATAAGCCAAGCACTGTGAAATGCACTAAATATGCTATTGAGCAAACTTTAGTACTTTCCCTCAAGGAGCTTACAGTCTAATGGGAGAAGATAGAGAAGAAAATAGATAATAAAATGAGAGGACAGCAAAACTGGTAAGAGTATAGGAGGGAGGGAGTGAAAGGAAAAGCAAAGAGAGCTGGAGATAGCACATGTAATGAGGATCCAGGCCCTTTCATGAAGATTCTTAAATCAACTTCAAAATAACTTCAACATTGGCTCCATGCCTGTAGCTCAGTGACTAGGGTGCCAGCCACATACACCAGAGCAGGCAGGTTTGAATCCACCCTGAGCCTGCCAAACAACAATGACAACTACAACAAAATAGCTGGGCATTGTGGAGGTGCCTATAGTCCCAGCAACTCGGGAGGCTGAGGCAAGAGAATTGCTTAAGCCCAAGAGTTTGAGGTTGCTGCGAGCTGTGACACCACAGCACTCTACCAAGGATGACATAGTGACACTCTGTCTCAAAAAAATAAAAATAAACTGGTTCAGTGCCTGTAGCACAGTGGTTACAGCACCAGCGACATGCACCAAGGGTGGCAGGTTCAAACCCAGCCCAGTCCAGCTAAACCACAATGACAACTGCAACAAAAAAATAGCCAGGCATTGTGGTGGGCGCCTGTAGTCCCAGCTACTTGGGAGGCTGGGGCAAGAGAATCACTTAAGCTCAAGAGTTTGAGGTTGCTGTAAGCTATAATGCGATAGAACTCTACTAAGGGCGACATAGTGAGATTCTGTCTCAAGAAAAAAAAAAAAAA